TGATAGTACTTGTTATCACAAAGACACTTGGTACCATCACACAAATACGGTAGGCATTATGCTATAGTTAGAGGGTCACTTAGGATCTCAAACTCACACCCTTCTATCATACCAAAGGTAACCTAGATGAAACCCGAGTCACTTAGCATTAGAGTCTTCATCTAGAAAGGCTCACATTACCTAGTTCCTAGGACGCCTCCTGGTTATATAGCATCAGAGCCTACTTCCTGCTAGTCTACTCCTTATAGTACTAGGGACGCCTCTTGGTCACATAAAATCGGAGCCTACGTTCAACTAGTAATGAAAGTGCTCCATACTAACTTGGATAAATCTTGATATTTCTTAGAAAATTGGACATCATCACTTACATACACAAGTAACTCACGTGTCATCATCTTTTCCCGAATGATAAACAAATGTATAAGTCTTATGGAATCTTAACTCATAAGGTTCTTGTGATTAGCACACAATTAACATTATTATTATTTCATTATTATTATAAAGATATTCTCTAGAGTTAACATCTCAACACACGTAAACTAATGCCACACTAAGGTAATCAAAGTAGCTTGGCTACTCACTATCGAACTTGTTGAAGTCAGGCGAGGTCATCCTCTCACTAGTTGTTATCTCGCCAGTTCTCTCATCTTAAACGTTATGCAAAGGCTTATTAGTTTGTTACTTTTGTTATTTATTAAGTTGATTTATTATGTTTGTTCGTTACTTAAGGGCATTTTAGTCATTCGGTACCTCTAGTAAAGTCTCTACATATTTTGGGGTTTTACGATAATGTATGTAGTTATTGTTCATTGGCTATACTATTCCCTAGCCCGATACCTGACTCAAGTTCAACTCTGAGTAGTGACACTTTATTCGTTCTTATCATGCTTCCCTTCAATACCCTTGAATTAAAAGGACAACTTACATTTTCTAGGGTTCACTGACGTTCTCGAAGCTTACGCTTTTTGCTGGTATATTCCCTGTAACGATCCTCATTTTTAACTTTCCGTATACGTGTTTAACTAAAGATATTTTACCGTATTACACTTAGTATGGTTACATTTGTTTTAACCCACTCTTATGAGTGTTTCTAGTTATGTTTGGTCACTTATGTCCCCTATGGACTAAGTCTTACTATTATAGATCATTCTTGGCTCTTATGGGCCTTAGATAGGTTAATTCTAGCAATCCAAAGTGAGTAGTATCGATACTCTACTTGTAGTATCGATACTCTAGGGTCAAGTATCGATACCCCCTATGAGTATCGATACTATACGGGTAATATTGATATTCTCCCTGGCAGTAGCAATACTTCTTGCCTGGAAACCATAATGTTTGCCCCAATTCAACCAATATCGATAATGTTCATCCAGTATCGATACTTAAACCTAAAAATAACTTGTTTAAGCTCGGAAAATACCCAAAAATCATCCTAAATGACTTGGTTTGGTTTCTAATCTTGTTATGAAGCTTTAGAAAGTTATTTAAGGTCTTAAGATGTCATAAAAACACATTCTTTACACCTAAAATATGGTTTGATTGTAAATTTAAATATAAACCCTAAAAAGCTCAAAATATCAAAATCTTAGCAAAAATATTTACATTTATGAAAGCTTAACACTCCAAAGGATTAGAAATACACTACCTTGATGTTTGAATCTCGAAATAGAGCTCCTTACTTAGTCACACACCCTTCCTCAATGATTTGGTTGATTTCCACAATGTTTCTCTAGCCAACAAATATGCAAAGAATTTCTTAACAAAAGAATGTTATAGGGAGCAATAGGTACATATTTGAAACTTATTAAAGTAGAGAAATGAGTTCTTACCACCCACTTGAAGCTATAGAGACTAGGAGAAGAACAGAGAAGATAAGGGAAGAAAATGAAGAGAATAAAGAGATTAAAAGCCTTCATCTTTTAAAAAGGGTGAAATTACACATTTAATCCTTCCTCATCTTTCTACGGTTCAAAAATCTTCTTTTTATGGCTTATTGGGTCAAATTCCAACCCAATTAAGCCCAACTACTTAAAATATAAATTTTACGGGGTCCACTTACCTCTTGGGTAAACCCAAAATTACTAGTCCAAAATTTGGTGTGTTATAAGTTTACTCTAATGATAAGTCATAACTGATTTTGAGATTTTTTAAGGGGTTTAAATGAATATAGTGTTTGATGAATTTATCGTGAATTGCTCAGATAATGTTAATTTATGTTTGTTTGTTAAGTTAAACAAATGAATATGAACAAAACTTTTATGTTCATTTAATAAAAAAATGAATTAATATGAACAAATGTGTGATCGATTAATTTATGTTCATGAATAAACTCATTTACCAGCTCATTTACTTGATTCCCATTTTTCTTTTTCTTTTTACATTTTAAATATCGGTGAATGTAGCGACTAAATTGAATACAATGTAAACTTTGAAGTTCAGATTGTAAAGCCTAAGAAATTTAAGATCTGGTTTTATTTATTTGTTTTGTTTAAGTTAATTCTTTTATTTGTTTAGTTAACCTTTTTGAACATATAAACAAACATGTTATATATATTTTTAATGAAAAATATAAACATTTTGAAATAAACCCAAAAACTTTGAAAACCTTCATTTCAACCCCTAAACCCACTTCGACCATTCACCTTTACTGTCGACGAAGTTCCTCCAGACCTCATCTCCCCCCGATGACCAAAACCCTCATGAAATCATGACTGATCAACGACTAATCGACGTTTTATACCCCACGAACCCTTGGATTAAAAAACCTAATCCCACGCGATCTCGACGACCAATCGACGGTAACTACGACGATGTATGACTAGGAGGATAGAAGGAACTATATCTGCGGCAATGGTCATGGTCGAAATGGGGGCAACGACGGGTTAAGGATAGGATTTGGAGATTTTAGATATATTGGGGGCTTTTTATAATTTAAGAGAAATTAGAGTTTTTTATAAATATAATAATTTTAAAAAAATACATTTCAAAATATCAAATTTTGACACGTGTCACTTAACAGGGGTAAATTAATGTTGTTGATGACCCGGGCACCTAAATGGGTAACGTTTGTGTCGTTAAGCACCTGGATTGGTCAAAAATAATTTAGGCACATATTCGAGATTTTAGATATAGTTTGGACACTTATTTTAGTATTAAGCATTTTAAAAATAAAAAAATAAACATAAACATAACCTTATTAATTAAAACTCGATTCATTTACACCTCATCCGACCCTTAGTGGATTCCACCAGATTATGGGACTTTAATAAGAAATAGTTTGATTTTGGGCGACAGCACGTACCGTGAAAACAGCAGTTCATTGGGTTTCTAGAGAGTAGAGACCCATATCTTGTAGGGTCCTAAAAGTTGAAAGAATGGGCTAACACCACTGTTTTTGTGGACCAAAGCGGAGAAGGTACACTTTGATTGAGATTTAGACTCCCAAATTGACTTATTTTTCATGGCTATGTGCTTTGTTATTGCCCTCCACCAGGGCAAAAGTTGACCACTTGGCCCTTTTCTCTTCCACTTCCTTGGATCCTCCTTTTTCTCACTCCATTACCAAATAAAACTCGTACGAATTTGTCATTTATGATAGATGGCAAGGCATCATGAAGAACATATTTAACAGTAAGTAGGCTATATAAGTTCTAATTTTCATGGGACACATCTTAACTGCTCCCGGACCTTTATCGTCTCATTCTAATTTATTTTATTCAAACTACATAATGATTTTGTTTCTGTTTTCTTTTACAGAGAAAAGCAATATAATGCTTTACTCATTTATTTCCATTTCTTTGACGATCTTCCCACTTGTTTTTTAGTGTCCTTTCACTCTCTGTCTCTCACGACATGAATGAAACCAATATTGTTCTTCAAAGTTCAATATTAGTTTTACTAAGATCTATCAAGTCATACAAAAATCCAACTTTGGGTAGTACTTTAGCAGAGGCATGGATATTCAGGTAATGCTTGTCTTCTGTCTCTGATTGATTTATCCTTTTTCTAATTTGATTTGATTGCAGGAAGAAGGTTGGCCACTGGGATTGCAGCCACTGAATGTGAGGGTTGGACTGCCTACTAGAAACCATGACTACTCAGGCTTCATTTCATTCAACACGGTACCCACTGGTTCCCCAACTTCCTCAACAGATTCATTGGACACACTGGTCAGTCACTCAGTCTCACTGCAAAACTAGACATATTTTGGTTTGATTGTTTCAATTTTGCTGGAGAATTGGTTTTATTTATTTATTTATTGAGTAGTCAGTTAATACCCAATTTGTAATCATTCTCTTACTGGAGAATTGCTTAATTTAGTAGGGCAATAAGTGTCAATGCAGCATTCAATCCCCCTTTTCTCTTTTTTTCTTTTTGACCAAGTTTGCTGAAAGTATAGGCTAGTTCACTTGGTCTACGGAGTCGGTTCTTAAAGATAATGCATCAAACAAGTTTGGGATTCAATTTCTAATGTTCACCATAACTTTGATTTGGTCATGTTAGATTCGGGATTTAAATAACGTTATGCTATCGAAATAGCAGTCATTATATAACAGTTAAGGTGTTGTCTAAAACTGTAATTTTACAACCGTGATATCCGCAATAACACCAGCTATTGCCTCAATTGTGATCAATGCAATGTGACCACAACCACAATTTAAATCTTTGGTTAGAGTTTGACTCGAATTCAATTTGGTTCCGTTAAGTTTTGAAGATAAGTTGTTTTCTCTAAATCTTTTTGTAACTATCCAAATTATCGAAAATTTTACTCTTTTATATGTGTGGTTTTTTTTTTAAAGATTTCCCCTGTAAAATCTTGGTGTTCATTTTATTGTACCATCAACATATTTTCCATTGTCTTCTAACAGGTTTTGGGATGAAAATTTCTGCTTCTAAAGGCTCATGAAGTGTAATAATCTTCTCAGGATAACAATATAGAACTAATATTTCTGAGAAATTAAGAATCCTATGCGTAAATTTACCTTTGCTTCCAGTGATTTATGCTGGTGGGTTTATAAGTTGATTTGTACCAATATCTCTTGCATGATTGATTTTTCAGTCAACTGGGTCATTTTTCCATGAAAAGAGCATCACACTGGGGAACCTAATCGGCGTTTCAAGCATCTTGGAACTCTCAAGAAGATCCATAAGAGGAAGACAAGCAGAAGGAACAAGAGAAAAACGAAGTAAGAACAACAGGTCAAAAGTGTGGCGGTTCTCTTTATGTTCAAGGGATGATACCCAGAATGCAAGCAATGTTCCATCGCTTGGCCATTTCCTTGCGGTGGAAAGAAGAGCAGCCGGTGGATATAGAAGGGGCTCCATCGTCGTTGGACCCGACGAGCCTGCCCCGCAGGCTCAACCCAATATAGAATCAAACTCACTATTCATCAATGGCTGCATCGCTCCTCCTAGAACCACTTCACTCCATGTTTCCGACACTGATGATGGTAACAGTCATGGAGTTCCAGTTATGCTGAGCTGCATATGTGGACAGCCCTGAACCCTCCCTCCACTTATGGCCTTTGCAGCTAAATTTTCGGTCTACAGTCAATTTCGTATGCTTTAGGATTTATAGTAAGAACTAAGCTTTATTTTCCTTGTCATTTATTAGTGTTACTCTTCCATTTAGTAATATTAAATGTTTTGACCTTTAAAATTTTATGAACCAACCTTTTCTTTTTCATCGACATGGAATTGTAGAGCGTGCCCATGGGTTATGACCATCAATCATAACAAACAAACGTCACGCCTTAAAATGTGAAAATGCTCAATATAAAAAATCTCAAATTATACATATTTAAAAAAAAACCATTAATATAAATGTCTAATGTTACCAAAGTTATATTTTAAATGTTTACCCCATCATGTCGTTAAAAGATTGTTAATTGACATGTGTCATATTTATTTACTTTTTAAATTTTATTTTTAAAAAAATTAAAAATATTTTTAAACAATTAAATACCCTAGTTTTCCTTGGTCATCCATTCGTGAAAGCCTAAGAATTACATCTCCTCTGCAAACAAAAAAATAAAAAAAAACCTTTTTGATTTGCACGGATAGTGAACGAGGTAATGGTGGATTTTGATTTGCAGATGAGAAAAGATAAGGTAATAAGCAACCGGCCGATGACAAGGAAGATAAGGGACAAATATTTAGGGTTTAAAATTAGAGATTTGGAGATTTGGAGATAATGTCGGTCAATGGGAGAACAATGATTGATGGATAACTATTCAGCGATAGTGGCCCGCGAGGATAATGGGGGATTTAGAATTAAAGACTTGAGTTTATATATGATTTTAGAAAAAAATTGGGGATTTTTCTGAAAATATTAATAATTTTAAAATTTTTAAAAAGTATAAATTCAAGATGTGTAAGTTAATGTTTTTTTTAACAATTGTTATGACATAGACACTTAAAATACAATTTTTAGAATATCAAATATCTATTGATCGAAAAAAGTAGGCATATAAATAAAAAAATAGGTGTAGTTTAAGCACTTTTTGTATATTAAACTAACTGAAAAAATATTAATTTAACATTAAAAATAAGAAAAAGAGGTCAATAAGTTTATAATGATAATATTGTATATCATATTAGATATGCCTTTTGAGAAAAGAATAATTAATTTGTGATACATGGTATCAAAATGATACTTTGACTGTTAAATTTACATCGAGTAATAGAGTATAATGTTTAGACTAACATTTGCAATATGGTTAGTTAGTCGGTTAGGTTTCTGTTGAAGTTGTTAGCCCATTGGTTGTGTTGCTTTGGACTATAAATATGGTCTCTATTGTGCAAGTATTATAGATGAATGAAATCATTTTTATGTTTAGTCAAATACTTTGACTCTCCTTTTACTCTATTTGTATTTAGTCTAGGTCAACAGTTACAATAGTTTCTCCCTCTAATCCTGGAAGCTTCTCTTCTTCATCTTCGATCACCGAAGTTTTACTTTTGTTATGGTATTAGAGCTATCTCGTCACCGATTCTGATTGATTCTGGCGAATGGCTTAGTGCTTCTAACTGTTGTAAGGTTTATACGGTTTGAGTTGGTTTTTCTTTTTCTTCGAAAACTCGGACTGTTTTTCTCAGTTGTTGATTTTCTTGTTCATGCTTCGCTTTGCTTATTGTTCCTATGTGTAGATGTTAGTGCATTGTGGTTGATTTTTTATTCGCTTTCCACCTTAAAATTTTTTCGTTCTGCTATCTCTTTTAGTAATTAGGGTTCATCTATTGTTTTTTTCCCTATTTTATCCTTTGCATTGCTTGTTTATTTGATAACTCATAATGAAATCGATGATACTAATGCTCCTACTATTGTTCAATCTGAAAGTGGAAACAATTCGAATATTTCTCAAGATCCTTCTATCAAACTCTTCTATACTAAGAAGATTAATGTAGTTTTGGATGATCATAATTACCTCTTATGCCATCAACAAGTTTATTTGATTATAAAGACTCATAAATTGTTGAGATTTATTGATACTAATGTGGCTTATCCTCCTCAATATCTCACACAAGGTGATGTTATCACTATCAATCCTGACTATGAGTGGTTTAAAGAGCAATATGAAGCTATTGCTACATGGCTTTTGTTCATAGTAAGTGAAAGTGTTCTACCTTATTTAATTGGCCTTAATATTGCTTTAGACATTTGAAACACATTGTTCTTTATAGTAGTAAGACCAATTCTAGGTTGATGTTATATAGGGGTTATTAAATTCTCAAAATAAAGGGGATTTGAGTATGAGAGACTTTGTAATTAAAATAAAAAATATATATGTGATATCCTTGCTAACTGTGGGGAGGTTATAACTGAGCATGAACATGTTACTGTCATTCTAAATAGCCTTTCACCTAAATATGAGTATTATTATTGTAATCACAACCAGTCCTAGCACTTCTGATATTACTTCCATTAGCACTATTATGTTAGATGTTGAGGCCATACAGGTTAAAATGTTCGACAATATTACTCTGCTGCTCAGTTGGTTAATCAAAAACCTTCTAGTCAAAAGGTTTTTTCTCAAGTTAATAAGTCTGACAGTTATAATGATAATGGTTCATCTACTGTTACTACTGCTTAGCATGAAAGTAATTCTCACAATTACAACAACAGAGGTTAAGGGCGTGGTAGAAATTCCTCTGGACCTCAGTGTCAAATGTGTGGAAGATTGGGGCACCTTTCCGATAGGTTTTATTATCGGTTTGATATGAACTATAAAAATGAGTCTGCTAGAACTGGTCAGGGTTTTGGAGGTTCTTCTGCTCAGGCTAATACTTGTACTTTCAGTCCTTATCAGAATGTTGTTACTTTTATCCCTTATAACATTGTTTATTACACCTTGTTGAGCAACTCGCATGTGTTTTTTCAAGCCCCTCCTCAGGTTAAAGCTCATCAGTTCCAACCATCCACTTACGCTAACACCACCGTTTTACCAGCTCAATTTCCTGTTTAGAATATTGATGTCCATCAAGTTCCTCGGCCAACCTATGCATCCTTTTCAGTTTCTCAGTCTCCTGCTTTAGCACATGCCTTAATAGTTGTTCATGATTAGTTTTTCACTCCTGAGATTCTCGATGTAATCCCTGGTCCGTTGACTCAAGCACCGCACATCACCTTACAAACGATTTCAACAACTTGCAAGTTGGTTATGTTAGTCCAACTTTAGGTAATGTTCAAGTAGTCAATGGTAATATGCTACTTATTAAGTATACTAGTCAGTCGTCTTTTTTTACTAATTCTAGGTCTTTTTGCTTGAATAAAATTTGTTTGTTCCTAATATCAAAAAGAAATTGTTGTCTTTCTCCAAATTCACTCAGGACAATAGAGTGTCTCTTGAGTTTCTGCCTAATGTCTGCGTTGTTCATGATCTTGACTCTCAGAAGGTTCTGTTGCAAGGACGTGAGTCAGGTGGAACATTGAAGAGCTGTTATGTGCATCCTTCGGTTTCTTTCTGGAAAATTAAAGCATGTGTATCAATTGAGGATCATCGTTCCACTACAAGGTATTGTATCTTTCTTGGTGGCAACCCTATTTCACAGTGTTCTAAAAAGCAGAGTGTGGTTTCTCGATCCACCTCTGAGGGCAAGTACGAAAGTTTGGCTAATTTTATTTTGGAACTAACTTGGATCAAGCAACTTCTTGCTGAAGTTGGTGTTTGCGTTGAAGGGTAGCCAATCGTCTAGTGTGATAATTCCTCCATCATGGCTATGGCTTCAAATTACACTTATCATGCTTGAGTCAAGCAAGTGGAAATTGATTTACATTTTATTTGAGAGAAAGTCCTTTCTAGATAACTGTTGATTAATTTCATGCCCTCAACAGAGCAGGTAGTTGACATACTTACAAAGCCTATGCCACCTGTTTGTTTTTCTCGGATGAGACAATAACTTAGAGTTGTCACCTTGTCAGAAATTTTGGAAGAAGAAGCAAATATGGAGAATAATAAAGTATAATGTTTAGATTAACATTTGTAATATAGTCAATTAGTCGGTTAGGTTTCTGTTGAATTTATTAGCCCATTGGGTTGTGTTGCTGATAACTTCGTAAAAAGGCTATATTTAGGGATTTTTCACTTAAGTTATTGGCTATCTTAAAGTAAATATTGGTTCATATAGATGTATTTAGGAGCATGTAATTGCATTTGGTGGATTTGTTTTGCCTTGATATTTTATTTTGTAAATGGTGTTATTTTATGGGGAAGGTCTGGTTTGGATGCTGATGCGCAAGTTCTATGAGCAAGGTTGTGCAAGGAAAATTGTCGTGGAAAACTGGATGAAAAAGCCGTGTCATAACTAGGTGGTGTGCAAGGAGAATTATCATGGAAAATAACACTAAAATTCTGTGACATTTCTGGGCGCAAAAAAGGAAAAAGAAGCTGAAGATATTTTCATAAAAGGACAGTTGCCTTTTTACCAAGTTTTATTTGCTTCCAATCGTCTATGAGGGGCCCACTGCCTGCTATTGTACTATCCCTCGTATGCGGAAAATATAAATTAAGGTACCATTGGAATTTTGGCACAAAAACCTAAGTATATTCCCTTGGTATATATAGATTATGACGCCACAAATGAAAGGGGCTTCTTCCACAATATTCTAATTTTCATTTTTAAGCTAAAGAGGTAGATAAAAAGCTTTTCCTTTTTCTTCCTTATGTTTTTATTTCTTCGTGGTGTTCCTCATTAAACAAGCTTGAGAGAGTGACGAGCTTGACTTCCAAGAGGAGCAAGCAGCACTAAGGCGATTCATGGTGGTCGAAGAGCTCACGGTAGTTCACGTTCAGAGTTTTCCTCAACCATTTTTTGCTTCATTTCTATTTTTATTCGATCGGTTGTATGAAACAAATTATTTTTATGGATGATTCGAACCTACCATGAACTAAACCTTATTGGTGGGGTTTATGATGGATGATTAAGTGTTTTTCTTTAATGAATGGTTGATGTTTTCATATTTATCACTTGTTTTGTTCGTTGTTTCGAATTACTTAAGATTGTAGGAGGCATGAGGGTGATCATTTCTCAAGTATATTACTTAATGTTCGAGATAAACTAAGTTAAAGATCCTTGTGTTCGAGAGAAACTAGGGGAATACCAACATGGACAATGGGTTTTAGCTAATAGCTAGAGCATACTGTAACATTCGTTTTTTTAGAGAAACTAAGGTACGATTTCGACGACTAATATGAGTTGAGCTTAATTGATAGGTTAGATGTTGTTGCTCAGGTCGAGAGGATTTGGCGTGGCATTCTTGTATGTCAAGTTCCAAGACTAGGGATAGCGTAGGAGCACTCATAGCAAACTCTGTCGAACAATTGAACCAAATAAGTTTTGAACATTCTAAAAGAAAAACTTTAAGATTTCTTTGTGACCTCATCAATCATCCCATAATAACTTGTTTATGAGAGGATTATAATGTCATTTTAGTTAATTTCCAAGTTATATTTTCACTTTGCCTTAACATTTTTTTATTAGAATTGTCCGACATTTCCATTTGCTGTGCATTCACACCACCAAACCAATTCCACTCACATACATTTCATTTTGCCTTGGCATAACCATTTGTGCATACCACTAACTATACTTAGATATTCTAGTATTGTGCTTTAACTTAACTTGCAATTTCCTCCAATCCTTGTGGAACGATAAACACTCACTCTTTATTACTTGTGTGATTTTGTATACTTGCACATAATTTGCATTTAATTATAGTACTCACAGCACACAACAAGTTTTTGGCATCGTTGCTGGGGATTAACAATTGAAAGTTTAGCAGTTTTGTTATAGCATTTCATTTTACTTCATTATTTTTAGTATAGTCTTGTTATTTTCTTTGTTTTTCTTTTTCAGGCTTTACCAGAGTATGACCAAAAGGACTGTTAAGGAAACATGGTACCTCTAGTACCTGAGATTGAACACTTATTATGTCGAAGACGACCTTCTTAAAATGCTAATAGTCATGTACGGCATTTAGAACCATGGAGTTCCGTAAGTGTAAGATCCAGCAGAGCCAAATGTTACGACAAATCAAAATGACAGACTTGTACCTCCACCAAAAACTATTAAAGATCACTTAGTTCCTATCTTGGATTATCTCAACCCTGGGATTGTAGCACCTGAGATTCAAACAACTCACTTTGAGCTCAAACCAGTCATGTTTAACATGCTGAATTCGATACGATAATTTGGTGGCATTCTTCATGAATATGCCAGGCAACCCATTCGTTCTTCCTTCGAAGTTTATGACTCATTTAGGCAAGAAGAGTGCATGAATATGTGTTAAAGTTCATATTATTTCCCTATTCTTTGCATGACCGAGCGAAGGCTTGGTTGAGTGGAATTCCATCTGGCTCATTAGAGTCATATGTCGATCTATGCAAAAGTTTTTTGTTACGATATAATCCGCCGAACATGAACACTCAACTCAGAATAACAATATCTTTCCGTCCGCTCAAATCTCTGTCATCATAAATATGTTGAAGAATATGAAATGTTCTAATGAGGTGAAAGAAGTGAAGGTGGCTAATTCAACATGTTTGTTATGCCATGGCAATCACTATGAAAGTGAATGCCCAGAAAATCAAGAATCCATCAATTACGTGGGGAATTTCAATCGAAGAAACAATAACAACTGTAACACCCATCTCCTGTATATCCTTCCGTACACGAGATACAGATGTCACATCAATTTTAAAGTAGTTTCACATTTGAAAACCCGTAAATTTTTTTATAAAACATTTTAATTTAATAATAATAAAACATGCATTAAATTTACGTATATAAACAAAAATATGTTCAAACATTTCATCATTTTACGTAATGGTAAATCATATACTTTTCATAGCGTTTTTACTAAATCTATTACATGCCAACTAAATACATTAAAAGTAGACATGGATGACGTACTGTTACTGACGAGGCGACACTTGCTTTGATGTTCGATGGTCTCTTTACTCAGCTAATATTAAAACTTACGCATGAAATTAACACACGCTAAGAAATTTCTTAGTGAGGTATAAATAATCAGAAGCAAAATTCTAAATACAAGTATATCATGACAATTCAAATGTCCATTAACTCTTTCAATTCATTAAACACTCTATAATTTACCTCTATAGTACCAATACGGTCCTTTCTTATCATTACTATAATTTACATAGGTTGAACACCAACTAAAATAGAAATTCATATACTTATTATGAATTTCTTACTAATTGCACACAAAGTGGTCATACGAAAATTCAAAAACTTAATATGAATTTCTTAACTATTTGCACACAAAGTGTAAATATGGAAATTCATAAACTTTTTATGAATTTCTTAACGTTTTTCACACAAAGGGCTATACGAAATTCATAAACTTATTATGAATAACTTATATTTTTGCACACAAAGTGCCCATACGAAAATTCATAAACTTATTATGAATTTCTTAACTTTTTGCACACAATGTGCCTATACGGAAATACATAAACTTATTATGAATTTCTTATCTTTTTGCACACAAAGTACCCATAGGAAAATTCATAAACTTATTATGAATTTATTAACTTTTTGCACACAAAGTGCCCATTCGGAAATTCATAAACACACAAAGTGCCATTCGGAAATTCATAAACTTAGTATGAATTTCTTAACTTTTTGAACACAAAGTGCCATTCGGTAATCACCATACATATATTAATCAATCATACATCTATGACTATCATACATATAAGTACATATTAAATGCACCCACATAGCTTGCCTCGATATTGTATCAAAACCGCAAAGCGGATTACTCAGTTTGATTTTGATCTACTCAAACATCCATTAAATACTCGTGCGATATCAATTGTTAGAATATTTCCTAATAATTATATTTAAACATTACTCAAGAGTACATATTATTAAATTTTTTATAACAATATCAGCCTATCTTAAAATTTCTAGCTCAATAGTATCGATACCCGTATCTTGGTATAGATATTACTATACTATGGTACCGATACACTATTACGGTATCGATACCATTTTTTCATTATGTTATCAATGGTATCGATACCTTCCTTATAGTATCGATACTCCCCTTTTGGTATCGATACTGCTTACATCAGTATCGATACCTCTCAGCTAATTCTTCCAATTTCAAGCCTATAGTATCAACACTGTTATATCAGTACCTATACCCTTGCCTAATTTTTCTATTTTTCAGCCCGATTCTTACCCAAATTTGGTCAAATTTCCTTATGCTTACACTCAACAATTCTATTAAACTCTTCTTTACTTATTCCTACTAACTTCCCTTCATTTAACTTTTAAAACATCTAGCATCTCCCAAGAACATTTGAATCTAAGAATCACACCACTTTTTCTAACTTGTTTTTAAACCCATACAATGTTTATAATCTCTCATTTACCTCTTTGACAAGTCAAAACTACTAGTAAACATCAATAAACACTCATATCTTAACATTTCATTTCAAAACCCGTTTTCTTAATTCTTTAATATTTCCTTCATCTCATAGTTTTAATATTATATAACTTTTTCCTTAAGCTTACATATCACTTAAGGTTGCAAGAACCAACCAAAATCGAAAGGAAACACTAGCTAGATGAAGCTTACCTTAAGCTATGAGGAGAACTCTCAACCACGGGATAAAAAAGAAGAGTAAAATAACTTAGCATGGTTTTTAACTTTCTCCTTTTTCTTAAATCCCTAAATTTAAATGGGTTTTAAATTCATTTCCCTCTAAAAATCAAAATGCCCTTCCATTATTCCATTTCTTACTAATTGGTCTTACTTAAATCATTTATTATACTTTACCATTTATTCAATTTTGTCTTCCAAATTTTAATTCCTCTCAAAATAGTCAATGACCTACTATTTGGGTATTACAATTCTCCTCCTTTAAAAAAAAATCGTCCTCGAATTTAAAGAGGTACCTGAAATGAAGA